TGGAAAACACACTTGCAACATACGTGTATAGCCACTTCAACATATGGAACATCCAGATGAAACACTTGCAACATACGTTTGAAACAGCTGAAACATTTAAAAGATACACTTGCAACACACGTGCATAGCCATTGTAACATATGCAACACCATATCTACTTTTGCAATATCTAGATGAAACATATGCAACATACATCTGAAACACATGAAACATACGGTTACAACATGTGCTCATCTACTTATTGCTGCCCAATGAAGGTTGACGCGGGCGTGTGGGGCGCAACGTGAGGCGTGCGCAGCTTAAGGCACGAGGCGTGGACAACACGCGGTGTGAGGCACGGGTGGGGTACACGGCACGAGGCGGGTCCAGCGTGAGGCGTGAGGCGTGGGGGTGCATGGCGCGAAGCGAGTCCGACGCGAGGCGTAGGGGAGCATGACATCAGGTGGTTCCATCCCGGTGGAAGCGTCTAGATTTTTTTAATAATGGACCGGTCAGACCTGGTCCGTAGGCCTAGCGAAAGCTCACGTCCGGCCGAGCGGACGCTCGGTAGAGAGCATTACCATTAAACTAAATTTTGAGGGCCTGGGTAAAAATCATAGCTCCAACAAAAGCCTCTACTTACTCAAACCCCCAAAGTAGGCAGGACCTCAAATCCCACCCTCCTTGGGCCCCATCCCCATGGGTGTTGACCCCCGACCTTCATTTAACGGTTGGTAGTTTCCATCTAGCGCGAGCTCCATTTCCTCCCTCCGACCCATGACCTGTCTTCACGTGGCAACCTCCTGCGACACCCCTCTCGTGGCTCAGATCCCTAGCGAGGCCCCTCGGCTTGATGAGGCTCCTCTTCCGAAAGCCTGTCCGTCTTTGGACTAGGCCTTTCAACACGAGGCAACAACGCTCCTCCCTTCTCCGACGAATAGCTTCAATGTGGTTTATCTCCTGTCCCTTCTTCGGTGTGGCTCCCCTCCCCATTCTTTCTCCCATGGTAGCCATTGCACTACCATTTTATTTCTAGAATGAAACATCAAAAAAATTTATCATTAGCCATGATTTAGTAGTGTCTTTAGCTTTTTAGCAGGCGAGGCCCTAATTGCTCTTGCAAGCACTTCTGAGCGTCCGTGAAGTCATCAACGATAGTAATTTGGATGCTGCGCGCTAACATGGAAGGTAGGGCTTCCAGCCAGCATGGAGCTCGTGATTGGCCTGGCCTAATTAGCCTAGCATCGGTAGCTGAGGGAAGGAGGGCCTGAGAGGAGCCTGGCACCTCGAAACCTTCTCATACCTCCCATAACACCCCTTTCAAAATTAGATACTTAATTATCTAATTAGCTAGTTAATGATACTATTGTACTATGATTTTTTTCTTCCTCCGTATTAATCTCCGATGGTACCTTATGTAAACAAAAATTAGGTTTTCTTGGTATTTTCTCCATCTTTTTTATTTTTATTATTGCCTACCAAACATTAGTTTGTCCCAATACCACACCCTCAAATTAGCTAGTTAATTGAAAATTAGTTATTTGTTTGTTCCCTCTCTCTGAATTGACCTCCAATAATGGCATCTATATTATTTAGCGTTATCCTTCCCGTTATCTTCCTTATCTCCTACTCCCTTCGTCCTGTAAAGAAAGACGTTATAGAATGCGTACAGGTCAAACTTTCTTAACATTGATTAGGTTTATAGAAAATACGTGCAACATTTATTATAAAAGTATTCAACGATCCATCTAATAATACTAATTATATATTAGAAATATTAATATTTTTATATATAATTGGTTAAATTAAAAAAAAGTTGACTTCTTAGGAAGCGAAAACGTCTTCTATTTTGAGACAGAGGGAGTATGTTCCATGTACTCAACGTTTAAACGCCAAACAGTGATACGATATTTCCGTTTAATTCGTCCTTTTAACCTATTTATTAAATGAATATTTTATCCTTTTAAGTGACATTTTAATTTATCCAAATAATGGCTAAATGACGAGTGACCTATTGTTTGCCATTTAACATTTAGGGTGAAGCACCCCGGTTTGAATGGCCCTCCTATATTCAACTAGTATAATACCCGTGTTAACGCAACGGTTTTATCTAGAGAATGATCATAAAAACATCCAATTTGTTATTTTGTAGTTTAACCTTTACCTAATTATTATATTATAGCCTAAGTTACATTTGGCGTAAGTCATTTATCATTTGTTGCACATCTTCAGGGATGTTGAAACATTCGTTTGCAGGATTCATCAAAATGTCAGCCAAGAATTCCTTCCTCAGTGTAGATGATAGCTGCGCATGGTATAGAATATAATATGTTAGTATTGTATGTAGTGTACGGAATATAGTTGGAGACTATATATGCTTACAGTGGTGATCCGTGGCAATCTTACGCCGTCCCACGACTTCATGAAATTATAGACAAGAAAGCCTCCCAATTTCCTGACGGAGAAGATCAGTTGTTTATTTGATGTACATAAATCAAATTACTGTTTTTTATAGAAAAGTTGAACCAAATTTTGTGACACTTACCAGTATTTATGACCCAAAACCTTTGTTGCATATTTAGGGTATTTTCGCTCCTAGTAATAAATATTTTCGCTCCACCTAGAATTTGATAGTGCCATGGCGAGATTGAACATTCTAGCATTAGTGTGGAGTAGGTATATATGCCATTTCTTGATGATAACCCTTCAAACATGCATTATCTGGTAGCGGTTCAAGCGGATTCATAATGTGCACAGTTTTGTTTCGCATGTCCGGTATGAATAAAATGTGTAGTCCATTCTGATAATATGGTAGTAGAATCTAAAAACAAACACACAGACTGCAAGTGGTTCATAAATAAAATAAATAAATTCTTATAAAGTAGTACACTGACCATAACGTACATGGCTACAATCTTGAATTTTGTAGTGCATGTCTGGCCAGCACTCAAGTACCTTTTTTAATTTGTTGTAGTATACCTTATCAATGCCACCAGTACATCGTGGATATCTTCCAAACCCAGTTATTTCCTGATGATGATTGTAATTGTCAGTATATAATTTTTTAATCACATATATTACAAGTTTTTGATGAATTATAGAATTTCAGAACTTACAGCAAATTTAAGATCCATAGTATGATGCACGTGCTATGCAACGGTTTTATCTAGAGAATGGTCATAAAAACATTCAATTTGTTATTTTGTAGTTTAACCTTTACCCAATTATTATATTGTAGCCTAAGTTATATTTGGCGTAAGTCCTTTATCATTTGTTGCACATCTTCAGGGATGTTGAAACATTGGTTTGCAGGACTCGTCAAAATGTCAGCCAAGAATTCCTTCCTCAGTGTAGATGATAGCTGCGCATGGTATATAATATAATATGTTAGTATTATATGTAGTGTACGGAATATAGTTAGAGACTATATATGCTTACAGTGGTGATCCGTGGCAACGAACATGCCACGCCCCACACACACAGAGAGACCCTGTGCCTGTGCCTGGACCTCAGAGCATTGTACAGAGCCAGTTGTGCGTCTTAATCATGTCCCAAGAACAGGCCTTCATTCCGAGCAAGAAATTCGGACGCGAGACGTTTCTATTCTTCGCAACATTCTGAATGTTAGCGCGCTTCGCTCCAAACATGACCCAAACACTGAAACACGTCATTTCTGAAACCTGAAACTGTGGCGGAAGTTGCCACCGTTCTCAGCAAGCAAAGCGACCCATGGTATCGCGTGAACAGACCACCAGATGTGTCCATGTGCCAAACAAGAGCGTTACAACTTGCTGCAAATCTACTGCATCTGCGTGCGTAGGTGACAAGTAGCCTGTTCACTTTGGTCGTGTTTGGTTTATAAGTCGTACTTTTTCAGTGAACGAATAGTTTTTTTCTCTTACACTAAACCAGTTAACAGTATTTTTAGCCACGGCTTATTAGCCAAACAAGCCCAAACGAAAAGGACGAAAATCACAAGATGCAGTTAGTGATCGTAGCCCAGCCCAGACAGCTGTGCAGAGTCAAGGATGGATGGGTGCCACTGCGAATCAATGCCCAGTAGCTGCACGAGTACGAAACCTTTTCAATGGAAAAAGAGAACGGCGTGGAAAATTAGCTCGGAGAACGCTGATGATTGTACGCCACGACCACGAGCCCGCGATGGAACTGGCTTTCTGGGAGAACGGACGGAAGATACGGGTGACAGGAGACTGATAAGAATCATTTTTTCTAACGGGCTGAAGAGAAGTGTGTTACCTGACTGAATGAAACCTGAAACCCTTTCGGAAGTTCAACAAGGCTTTAAGCATGTCTTCCGGACAGAAGGTATCGGTGCCACCTGACTCATTTCTCAATCCAAAATGATTTTGCAGGCATTTGGCATGTCTTGGAAAGAACACACTATTGCAACGGTAGTTGCATAACTACCGTAGCAGTATTAAATGGCAAACATGAAAACAACAGGAAAACAATCTGCGCCATGTTTATTTGGCCTTATTTGACTTATAAGCCATGGCTGAAAGTACTGTTGGTTGGTTTGGTGTGAGAGAAAAATACTATTCGTTGACTGATAAGCCATAGCTTATAAACCAAATACAACTAAGCGAACAGGCTGCTGGAAAGCAATGGCAAGATAACACTCATTAGTAGGACAATGCAGTGACTGGTTTTGTAAATATAAGGGATCGGCGAGCACATACTTATAAATATACATTTACTGATGGAATCGAGCTACACACAAATAAGTCACCGAAGATTAGATAAATAACTCTTCGACCCTGTTAGAACACAAAGCTCTCTGAGCCTCATGACCTTTGTACAGCCCTACACAACACCCCCCTCCTTTCAGCTGAACAAAAAAACTAAAACAAAAGATAAATAGCTTTCTTTATACTCATCATTGAGCAGCGACTTTGATCCTGCAGGTTATTTCCACGCACTGTTCTTGATCGCCTTTACACAACCTCCTTTTGTTTTGGAATGTACAGTTTCTTTCTTTGACTATATGGTTTCATCTAATCTCAAATCGAATCTATAATGTCTTCTTCCCTCTTCCCATGATCTAGATACACCCTACACTGGATCACCGTACCTCCAAGCCGGAAGCCCAGCACCACCGTCAACCCGACCTTTGGTCGCACTGGCTTCCCGAGCTCCTTGCTCGCCACGAAACCCTTCGACCGAACAATGTTCTCCATGTACACCATTGAGAACTCTGTGCCCCGGCCAACCTGGAATATGCCGATTGCTGGGTCATACGCCCGAGCTAACTTGTCAAAGGTCCATATTGAGCTTGCCATTGCAACAAACAACTCGTAGAGTGGGCCGCCACACTCATCACCAACAATGTCCCAGATCTGAATTCCCAAACAAAGGAGGATTCAATGCCGGATGGATCAATTTGTTTGTACTTGCGGTCGCAAAATTGGGCAAACTCACGGTCCGGGCTTGAATTCATCACCTCCATCGGTTCGTGCATCTAAGTGCTCGATGAATTGCTGCAATGACTCGTTCTCTACGGGTTGCCAAATTTATTCCTCTCGAGCTCAGGTGCCACCGTGGAGCCGAATTGGTAGAGTCGAATCCGTCAAACATGGAGAGGCGACGTGGGAGAGAGCGCGCGTGGCGGCGTGGGCCGCCTTGGAGTAGGAGACACCGGGTAGGCACCTCTGCACCGCTGCCGAGTCCCACCAGTAACAGACCGGAGGACCTCGGCAGCAGCGCTGCGGCAAATCGGTGGGCGACGCGGAGCGCGTCGCGGAGGATGTAGTCGAAGACGCCTGGGATGACATCGTCGTCGACGGCGCCGCCGCCGCCGGAGGCGCGAAAGCGCGCGGTCGAGGCGGCCCGCGAGCCATGCGTTGCCGTCGTCGATCGCCTCGAGGTCCAGCCGCGCAGCCAGCAACGGCCGGGCGTCCTTGGCGTCGAGGGCTCACAGGTGGTTCACCACGCGTCGAAGACCGCAGCAGAAGCTGCGGTTCTCGCGCACTGGGCCTCGAGGTGCGCCGTGGCGTCCCGTCCCGTCCCGTCCGGGCGAGGGCGGGTCCGCCGCCCGCCCTCGCGATCCGCTTGAGCTCCGGCGGCCGCGGAGGTGCGAGACCGCTGGCGGTGTCAGTAGCCATCGCCAGCATCGGGCGGGAGAACGACACGTGGCGGCGGCTGCGCAGTGCAGGTGTACGCCGCCTAGAACGACGAGGTTGCCGTCGAAGCGCCGCAGCGACGGCGACCTCTGCCCCTGACGCCGCCTTCCCTCCCCATCCACGCTAGGGTTAGGGTTCAAGAATGGGTTAGCCTTCAAAGACGACCACCGTTGCCCTAAGCAAGGACCCCATCCGCCCCGGCGCCGGCGGCCTTCGAATCGGTCGGCGTCCTTGTCCTCCTCCTCCTCGGCGAAGAACTCGATGGTCTTGGTCTTGAACGCGAGCGCGCTCTCTCTCTCCTTGCCGCCGAAAGCGGGCGGGTGTTACGACGCTAATTGCGGGAGTCTTGGGGTGTTGGTGTAGAATGAGGAGATTTGATACACTCAATGCAGCCCTCGATTGTGTAATGAGTAAGGAGAGAGAAGGCTTAGAAGTCATCCTGACCAGTTCGTTTGAAATGTGTTGTTTTCCTGGGTACACTTTTTGGATGGACTTAGAGGGGACATCTCAGCGAGGGGTCGTTTTCTTGTGTGGACATAGAAAAGAAAAGATGGTGCATTAGTAGAGTAGAATCCTATCTCCGCCCCTACCTAGTATGATCTGGTAACCTGATCGGGCGGTGCATGCTAAACGAGTGCAGCCTAGATACGGCCAGGAAGGACATTAGCCATGCTTGCACGGACGTGTTTTCAGCATTTTGTACGAAAAAAAAAATCCTGGATTGGTCAAAGCGAGTGCACACACGTTGGCGTCTAGAACGCCAAACCCAAACCCCTTCAACTTCAAGGCAGCCAACCACCGTTGGCGTCTTGGCGAAGACGAACGCCACCGCCGGCCAGGTCGCCGCGCCCTCGCCCGTGAGGATGACATGTGAGGCCTGCCGGTGCAGTGCCGTTGACGGAAGCGTTGCCGTGCCGTCCTCCTCCCTCCGGCCGGGTCGTTTTCGACGTGCACCCTCCACCAAACCCAAAATGAGTCGCTAATGGGACTGTATGAGCCTGTAATAAAATACGGACCTATTTTGGATTATAGCAGAGATACCATCCAAATATATTCTCTCTCTAGAGACTCATTTTTAGAAAGAGTTTTTTTATCCTGTGGTTAAAAAAAATAAAAATAAGTATGAAACCATTTATCTGTAGCGCTACCTAAATTTAAAATTAGTCTTGTATTTTGAGTAATATCGTTGGAGATAATGTTAGCGTGCCAGACACTGACACTGACCCCTGACCCTTTCTCTCTGATCGTCCTTCGACCTCATATATCTGGCAAACCCGAGGGCTAAACAGTAAAACGCTAAGCGGGGCAGGCTAATCCGTTAATCCCTCTCGTGGGACACGTGGCTGCTTCTGGTTGGGTGTTAGCCGACGCGGTAACCCAACCGCGGGGCCGTCGCTGTCTAACTGTTCCGTAACTTCACGGAACGGCCCTTGGAAGAATTTCTCTGTGGTGGGTTGCCCCTCGCTGCCGTCTTCTTCTTCTTCTCCGGTGGGGGGCGAGCCAGAGAGAGACGGATACAGCGACGGCCGACGGGGATGGCTAAGCTGGGACGGATGGCGACGCTGGTGCTGCTTCTCGCGGTGCTTCTGGCCTCCACTTCTTCCCCCGCGGCGGCGGCGGGGCAGGAGGAAACAGGTGAGTTCGATCAGCTTTTCCCCCTCGTTTCGACTGCCGCCCGCCCGCTCCGTCCGTCCGTCCATGTGCTGGAGGAAAGAGGTTCCGGACGGTCCGTGGCTGCTCAGGGCAGCGATTAGCTACTAGGGGCCGGGGAGCCGATTGGTTGCTGCGGCTTTGCCGGCGCAGCGCGGGGAGCTCAGACCTCAGACTGCACAACATACCGGATGTAGTGCCAATTGGTCTAGATTAGATGAGGAATTCAAGACGGCCGACGCTGGGAAGCAGCGTAGCTTGCTTTAGTGCGCCGACTGCTGCTGCACCTGCCGATTTCCTCCCGGATTCGGCTTTTTTCGTGTGGGGAGGATTTGGATTGGGGAAAGGTTCTGAAGCTACTACCTTTATTTACAACAGTGCTTACTATTGTCGTACTGTGCCCTGTGGCCTGTGGGTCAAGTGATCTGCGCGGTTGATGCAAACCGTTTCGCCAACTTCTTTTTTAGAAGGACAAGATCTCTGCTTTTGTTCAAAGCAAATGTTTACAAGTCGTCACTGCTGGGGATACCAGCTAAAAAAGAAGAGTTCAGCAACCAGAACACTATCCTATTACAATATCACTTCCTCTTATCGCCTTGATCCAAGACAGCAAAGCCTCAGTGGCCTTCATTCTTCCCTGCTCCTCCCCTTTGAGTAGATGTATCCACTTCTGCGTAATTGAGATCACGCTTCGACAACTGCATGCTCATTGTTGCCTGCAAGCGACTTTTCAGCACAGCGATGCTGTATTGTGGAAATGCGATTCTTGTCCACTTGCTTGGGAATGCCAGTGCTGTAGATTTATGGAAAACAGAGTCATGGGTTATCCTTGTTTGCTTCTCAGATTGGTAATGCCATTGGATTGGATGTAGTCACATTGCCCAACTCTAGTTTCTGAGTGTCGCGATGATTTATTTTACTGTTATTATGGTGCTTTTGTGTGCTCTGCCAGTGAATCAGGTTTTAACTCCTCACCTTTCTTTGCCAATGCAGTGATCAGGCTGAAGCACAGTGATGGTGGTTATCCCTACAATCATACTCTTGCTCATATTCTTGTCGAATACGCGTCTGCAGTAAGTTCCTCATGCACAATGTGCTGCTACTTATTCTGTTGAAAGCAACTTCATCATAAGTCTGCCCTAACTTCATATTGTCCTTGCCTAGCTAGACAATTTCTGTTCTGATACTTGCCTTTCACACCCTTTCCTTTTTAAGAATTAAGAAAAAAAAAACTCTTTGCCACACTTTTTCATTCCCTCCCTTTTCTATGCAGCATTTTCAGTCACTAATAGCTATCCTATTCTTGGTTGTTGCATCCCTGAATGGTTCTTTGATAGGGCATGCATATAATGATTCCCATGTTTCTATTTGCAAAATACATTTTTGTTCTTTTTCAGACTTGGTTTACATTACATAAATGCGCTTTCAGGTGTACACGTCTGACTTAACATCACTTTTCTTATGGACCTGTCCAAGGTGCAAAGGCCACACAAAGGTCTGTGCTTCCTCTGCTTCTGAAAGTTGTTCTACATGTTCCTTGGTGTTTAATCGTCTGTTTTTGTATTATTGATGCAGGGTTTTGAGGTGATAGAGATCATAGTAGATGTGGAGAACTGCTTACAGGTTAACTATCTTTATGTATTTCTATTTCAGCAACGCTTTTTTTTCTTGCACTTAGTGTTCTATGAAAACTTATGTTCGGTTGTTTGTTAAAAAATTGTGCAGGCATTTGTTGGAGTTGCGCCTGACCCTCGATCCATAATCATTGCATTTAGAGGCACTCAACAGCACAGGTACAGAAAATGCTCCATTATGAGTCGAGACTTGTAACGTATGGGCATTTGCTCTGAGTGCATCAACCTTTTATCCTAGTTATTGTAATCTTTTAATCAAATATCATAAGCTATTTATAAGCTTTCAATCTTCACTTCTCATTGATTTGATGTCTTGGAATTTAACTTGCACAGTGTCTCAAATTGGATCGAAGATCTTTTCTGGAAGCAGCTTGATGTGACATACCCAGGCATGCCGGATGCTATGGTAACTCCACTAGTCAAGTTGTTCTTGATGTTTAGAGTTCTCATTGAATTAGCAATAACTTGTGTTTGCTTGCTGCTTGTCTGCCTCATGTTCTAGGTACATCATGGGTTTTATACTGCATATTATAATACAACTATGCAATATGAGATCCTGAAGTCTATTAAATGGGCAAGAAAAATATATGGAAATCTACCCATAAATGTTGTGGGACATTCCATGGGAGGGGCTTTAGCTTCGTTTTGTGCCCTTGATCTATCTGTAAGTATTTTTAATGTACTTGGTTTATTGCATCAAATTTCAATATATGCTCTACTACCATCGCATGTATTGTTAATATATCAGATGGTTGGCTTCAATGTTACCTTTGCCTTTTCTTTTACAGGTTACATTTGGATCAAAGGAGGTTGAGCTCATGACTTTTGGACAGCCTCGGATAGGCAATCCTGCTTTTGCTGTATACTTTGGTGAACAAGTCCCAAGAACAATCCGCGTGACCCATCAGAATGATATTGTGCCACATTTACCACCGTATTATTATTACCTAGGTGAATGGACATACCACCACTTTGCTAGAGAGGTGTGTATCCAATAGTCAAAAAGAGTTTACAGAGATGCATACTTCACGTTACCGTTAATC